CGGCATCTACCACAAATATTGGTTCAACTTCACTAAGTACTAGGCAGTCAGATCAATCTACCACTGGGAACACATCCTCGTCATCAACTAGCAGTAACTTACGGCAGTCTACCACAAAAATTAGTTCAACCTTACCAAGTACTAGTCAGCCAGTACAATCTACAACTTGAAACAAATCTTCGTCTCCAAGTAGCAGTAAATTACGACAAACCACCGCAAATATGAGTTCAACATCACTAATTACCAGTCAGCCAGAACAATCTACCACTGGAAACAAATCCTCGTCATCAACTAGCAGTAAATTACACCAAACTACCACAAATATCAGTTCAACATCACCAATTACTAGTCATCTAGAACAATCTACCACGGGAAACAAATCCTCGTCATCAACTAGAAGTAAATTACAGCAATCTACCACAAATATTGGCTCAACGACATCAAGTACCAGTCATCTAGAACAATCTACCACTGGAAACAAATCCTCGTCATCAACTAGCAGTGAATTACACCAAACTACCACAAATATCAGTTCAACTTCACCAACTACTAGTCAGCCAGAACAATCTATCACTGGAAACAAATCCTCTTCATCAACTAGCAGTAAATTACACAAATCTACCACAAATATCGATTCAACACGAAGTACTAGTCGGCCAGAACAATCTACAACTGGAAACAAATCTTCGTCTCCAAGTAGCAGGAAATTACAACAAACCACCGCAAATATTGGCTCAACGACATCAAGTACTAGTCATCTAGAACAATCTACCACTGGAAACAAATCCTCGTCATCAATTAGCAATAAAATGCAACAATCTACCACAAATATTGGTTCAACTTCACCAACTACTAGTCAGCCAAAACAATCTACCACTGGAAACAAATCCTCATCAACAAGCAGTAAAATGCAGCAAACTACCACGAATATCAGTTCAACATCACCAATTACAAGTCAGCCAAAACAACCTACCACTGGAATAATTTCTCCATCATTGGCCAATCTACCAAATCTCATCCCCAGCGATAGTTGGCCAGAACAATGTAAAACTAGTCTGATGTCTCCATCATCAAGTGTAAGTCAATTAGACATTTCTAATATGAGAATGTGTACTTCATCACTAAGTACGAGTGAGGAGCTATACCTTACTTCCACTAATTACACTTTTGTAAGTGTAGATAGACCTAACCCTGGTAATCATACATCTAGTAGGGGTACTCAGCAATCTTTTATTGACGAAAAATCCGCGACACGAAAATCCGCCTTAAATGACAAACAGTCATCAGTGGTGAATAGCACATCTAAAAATAAATCATGCATTATTATGTGAATGCATTCTTTGATCTGTCATTGTTGTGTTTTGTTGAAATTTGAGTACTGAGTGAAATTAACAAAATATATCCAAGCAAAAGTATGAGCAAGTGCGTCGTATGATGATGACATATGCAGCAGTATATATATGTATGCTTAATACAAGTATTTTTATGCATCAGATGTTGCTGTAGAATTTACAATGGGAAATAAACATATGATGTATAATGCCTGAAAGTATAATATGATTACACAGCTCATGTATAAACATCAACAATTATTTCTCCAATGCAAGTCACGTGAGATATAAATACTATGGACTTTAAAGCGGGGGAGTCGCCACCTGCGCATGCGTCAGATGGCCATAACGTGTCATTGTTTACAAACAAGCGCCTACTCATGAGCCTTTGCGTTTTTAGCGTGTGCTGTTGTCGTCGCTTGGTGCACAGGTGACGACCCTCCCGCTTTAAGTGGAATTTGAATTTAAAAAAAATGAAGAGCAAGTACATTCGAATTAATTTATAACATTACAAATACTAATTAATGATTAAAGATTACATTACAGTGTTTTTTCTGAAAATTTTTCTTGTCATTTTACTTATCAAGACACGTGTGATAGTACACAAGAAAACTGTTTAAACATACTCAGCAATGTTTTTTTTTTATTTCATTGTTTTTACTAATAATATAACATAGATAACACGGGTGTTGTATAGCCTCTTTATGACCAGATATTTCTGACTGTATGTGCAATCGGAGAGTAATATGAGTTATTTATGAAATTTAATAAAATAAATATTAATGTTTATAACACAGTGTAACCATAGTATCTGTCATGTTGTATTTTATGTTAATCAGTATTGAACTGTCCATGGTTTATATGTGCACCACATTTAAAACAGTGTATTCCGTCGTACTTTGTGGGTATTAGAATTTTGATATTGACTGCCTTCATTCATAACGGCATACGTATATTGCCCTTTGGATATTGAGTCACCCACAAAAGCAGTATACACACTGATTAGATTAAGAATGTTGTGTCTGTCAATGTGACGACTGTCACGCGAACATCGGAAGCCTAACCCATTCTTAATTCAAGAAAATAATATTATTTAGTCAGCATCAGCACAAATATTGACCAACTCCCAAACAGTTAGACATGGTAATAAATACACAATTAATCTTTATTATAATACGTAAAGCTGACAATTGCAAAGTACATCATAAATTTGGTATACCTTTATGTCTATACAGTGTACATTATACAGATATTCATATCCACAATATTATATATTAGTCTCATTTTCAACATGTTATTTGCATTCAATGAAATAAATATTGCTTGTTAATTTTCTAACTGGATTTCAATTTCTTGGCAGCGAAACGTCAGTGGTAGCTAGCATAGACGGAACTACGTTTTATTTTTATGTAGTATTTTCCATTTATTTTAATAGGGCTAGAATGATCTGGATAACTTCCACTTACTGAACTGCATTAGCATTTATGCTGATAAGATGTGAAATATAAGCACATCTGCGAACTCCCAAATTGCAGTTACAGCTGCAAGAAATATTACCCTTCTGAACGATATGTTTTTAAAACAAAATTTCGGACTAATTGCTGATAGTAATTATTAATTCTCATATCACAATGATAAATATGATGCGATCGCATTGTTCAAGCACACACAGACATGATGACCTTTTGCGTGCATATTTATGTAGAAGCAATTCCGTGCTCATCCTCGTGCTCATTTATGAATTCATGATATGGCTCTATGTTCACAACATGAATTGCATATCACAGTGTAGTGCAACAACAAATAAAGCATAGCTAATCAACATGTTATCAACAATTCATGTTATTTGCAATCATTCAAATTCAACAGCGGTCTACACATTGAGATACATGTATATATTTCGGTCGAGATATTGTATCTTGTATACAGCGGAAATAAATTTACTACCACTGGAACTGCTTGCAATATTGTTGTTTTTACTGAGACAATATTTGAACGTTTATCAACCGGTACAGTATTGTATTAATAAGGAGATGTCGTCAAATGGGTGGCGCGTCTTTATCAACACCGGCGATGACCAGTGCGACATTAAGAGTTTTTTATCACCGTCGACACAGGGACAAACTTATGTATTTTAATAAATTTTTAAATAATAAATTGTTATATAACTTTTCTTTTACCCCTTCCT